AAGTAACGATAGGCTCCTGGAAGCTGCTCGAATATATTGCTGGTTCTACAGCCAATATTAAGTTTTATGGCCGAAATCTCCTCTACTTAAAGTTCCCAAATCCCAACTGAAGGCGATTCAAAATTTTCCTAGGCAAATTAAACTACTTTGACGGGTGTCTCCTAGAAGCTGCTCGAACATACTGCCGGTTCTACAGCCAATATTGAGTTTTTTTCAACTGCTAAAAGACAGTTGTCTCTAGTTATGGCCGAAAATTCGTCACTTTATAGTTCTCAAGCTCCAATTCAAGGCGATTTAGACGTTCCCTAGGCAAATCAGCATACTTTGACGGCGGTCTGCTAGAAGCCGATCGAACATGTTGCGATTCTACGGCCAATATTGAGTTTTATTTAATTGCAAAAAGCAGTCAAAAAAGCAGTCATTTCCGCAAAGTGTAAACTCTAACAAGACCCGAGATTCATACTTAAAGCCCCCCCTCCTGCCGTACCTCGGTCTTCTTTTCTTCATCATCATATCACACTGATTCGCAAGTATAATATAGATCTCCTCTTTATTACTAACTACATCTTCTACTTAGTCATCTCCTTCATTACATTATAATGTCTGACATGTCTGGTCCTAGTTCTTCTATCCGCAGCACTGAGCTGAGTTATTATTCCCCCGTTGCCGCCTTTATCCCTTCGACCGAGCCGGATCACTTCAATGATGTGTATACTACCCAGTACTACCTCAAAAAGCCGGCGAAGATCGAAGAGAAGAAGAAGCAATGTGGTCTCATCAGGTTGCTGAAGAAGCTGCGCACTCACATGCGTAGGTAGATTGCGAGTCGGTCTGATACTGTTTGTTGGTACACTTTTTGCTGGTACGTTTCCTCTTTTTTTCTTTTTTTCTGATAGAAGGCTAATTTTTTGTAGGGAGGGGATCGTGGCACCTATGTAGGTTTGACGGAATGCTAGCGCGGCATACGTTGTCACTCGGTGAGTCGTGTTCACAACCTGAACCTTAACCTTAATGCTAATATGAACATTGTCTTAGCCGTGTCAAACCTGTGACGTTGTATGGTCTTGAGCCTGCCGTCCGAACAAAAAGATGAGATATGATAAGGTCCCTCATCAAAAAACCTACTTCCCAAGGGATGCAAGGGCGCGGCGTTCCATGCCTGCATCCCCGATGAGTTAACCGATAATGTCCCTCATCACCCTTGAAGACGACGGCTTGGGATGGCCCTTAACCTCATGTCGCCGCCTTCAAGTTGACGGAGAAGCCACTTCTCCGTCACCGGACACCAAAGTCGATGAGAATGATAACGTCCCTCATCACACACCTCGTCCAACATCCAAGAGCTTTAACGGCTAGCCCCAGCATGGGGCCTCTGCCGAACACCACTGGAAGCACGAAGTCGCCATCACAGTTATTCCGACACCTGGGAAACAACTCCCCCGGACGCCACCCTCGATGGAAAGACCTGCTTCCAAGGCAGAGACCCGTATCCCCCAAATCAGGATGTTCCTATCGATTTTCAAATGGTGACTTGGACACCCAAGGATCATCCAGATTAAGGGATATCATCACACGCTGCCTGGGGACCCAATTCCTCAGGCCGCCTGTATGCATGCCGGATGCTACGCCGTTAAACAACCCCCCATGAGATGGATAATGTCGCTCATAGTAGTCTTGTGCCCGAACCGCGGCTGGTACGACGACAACGACACCGGCCGCTGGGCAGAGGACTATGCTCATCACTGAAACCACCCCCTGCCGCGATGGGATGCTATTCAATATATACCTCCATCCGGCAAAAAAAGTGATGAGATCCATATCCTCCCTAACGGGTTGTCCGAACGCCGGGAGAAGTGACACTCCCACGGATAACCTATCGGTTGCAGGATATTTCGACGGTGCGCCTCAACGTCAGCGCATGCGTCGACCTCTCGAACGTCGGTACTGGTCGACCTAGCTTCTTCACACGATAACGTCATGTGCACGCTCCGACGACGAGACCCAGAAAGACCCTGGCTCCCACCAATTACTCCCTCTCATCCAAACGGGGGGTATTTGGTACCAGGCGGCGCTTTCTGAAGTCGTGGAAACTTCATGAGACCGATAACGTCCCTCATATGCCACGATCGGATCTGCTTGCCACAGTTCCGAAAACCCACCACCAACAAGGCTGCATTCTCGATGATGGTTGTTCCGAGGGAAACCGTTAACGACACCCCCGGATAACCTAGAGGATATCGATACGGTGCCTGGGCCAGTCACCGATCGCTCGCTAGTCAACAATAACCGGATTCATGCGATAACGTCAACTGCATCTTCGACGAGCGAGAACCAGGAAGACCCTTAGGAAACACAGTGAGATAGATAATGTCGCTCATAATACCCTGTTTTTGGGATCCCAAGAGTCAATTTTCTGAAGTCGTGGAAACATATATTGAGATTGATAATGTCCCTCATCATTATATGCCACGAAAATCTGGAACTGCTCGCCACAGTTCATACCACCCACAGAGAAGGCGACCCTTGGTTGTTCCGAACAATGGGATGTTGTAGGACTCCCACGGATAACCGAGGAAGATATCATGAGTGTCTGGGATGACCCTAAACCTCACCACTACCGACCATGATATGCCCATGCGATAACGTCAACTGGGAATCTGCCTCGAACACGCGATGAGTTAAAAGATAACGTCCCTCATCATACCCCATAGACGCGGTTGAGATGTCCTAAACCAACCCTCGACTGCTGTCTATCGTGTTCGAGAACAGATTGTCCTTTCGAGATAGATAATGTCGCTCGTCAGAAGGACAAACAGACGGAGTGGTCCTCTTCGTCGACAATGTGCCGCATGCGATAACGTCAACTGCAAGCCACGATGAAGAGAACCACCACCACCCCCAATATCCGTCGAAAAATACGAGATTGATAATGTCGCTCGTCAAAATCCTCCAAGACGCAGTTGAGATGTCCTAAACTAAGCCTCCTGCTGTCTAGAGGTCACAGTTCAATGTCCTGCGAGATAGATAATGTCGCTCGCCAAAAGGACAAACGTGCGGAGCTGAGTGGTCCTTTTGCTGATCGATGAATCATGGTGCTCTGCATGCGATAACGTCAACTGCACCACGATGATGAGATCCAGAAAGACCCTCAGGAAATAAAAAGAGATTGATAATAACAATCTATAAAGACGCGGTTGAGATGTCCTAAACCAAACCTCCTGCTGTCTACACCACAGAATGTCTGGGCGAGATGGATAATGTCGCTCGCCAAAAGGACAACTGTGCGGAGTGGTCTTGCTGATCGATGAATCATGATGTGCTGCAATCGATAACGTCAACTGCGCGCCTCGATGATGAGATCCAGAAAGACCCTCAGGAAATATATAAGATGAGATAGATAATGTCGCTCGTCAAAAAAGCTGCCTCCTACACGCGATGAGTTAATCGATAACGTCCCTCATCATTCGAAGACCCGGTTAAGATGTCCTAAACCAACCCTTCCGCGGTCTTTCGTGTTCGAGATCAGGTCCATGCGAGATGGATAATGTCGCTCGCCAAGTGGACAAACGTACGGAGTGGTCCTCTTCGACGATGTGCTGCATGCGATAACGTCAACTGTGTGCCACGAAAAGGAGAACCACAGACACCTCAGTCAATACTGGACGAGATTAATTTTGTCGTCCACCCATATATTCCCTCCAGGGAGGGATTTGGGAGTAGGTGTCTCTGATCAGATAATGAGATCGATAATGTCGCTCATTTGAGTCAAAGACACCGCTTAAGATGGCCTGGGATGTAATGACCCTGCTGTCTGCAAGCTACGACTGAGATGTCCTCCGTCACGAACTTTCTGTATGAGATAGATAATGTCGCTCTCTCAGAAAGACATGGGTAACGGAGCGCTCTACACCTACGATGAGGTCTAAAAGTCCCCCGTCATCTTTCCTACAAGAAGACTGGACCTTCATCGGTGATCGATAAAGATGAGATTGATAATTTCGCTCATCACCGTCAAAGTCAAAAAGACGCGGTTGAGATATTCCTATATTTCCTGCTGTCGCGACGGAGATCATAATTGTCTCGACGAGATTGATAATGTCGCTCGTCAAGAAGACAGAGGTACTAGAGCGTTCCCCAGTGCGCATGCGATAACGTCAACTGCGCACTACACGACGAAAGTCACAGACGTCGAAAAAAACGATGAGATTGATAATGTCGCTCATCATCCTCTCACAAGACATCGGTTGAGATGATCCTATGCCTCCTGGTGTCGCCATTGTGATCGAGGTTACAAAAAATTGCTTGGACGAGATAGATAATGTCGCTCGTCAGGAAAACAAAGGTACTAGAGTGCTCCTCTACCGATACCATAGTAAGGTCTATCACTCGGCATCTTTGAATACACAGCTTGAGACGATCCTAAACCTCCTGCTGTTTATTTACAGAATACCGAGATGATATGACCTCTATCGGTTAATGAAGATGAGAATGATAATGTCGCTCATCACCCTCTTTGACTAGGATTTTGTATTTGATGTTGAGCATTTGGGTATTGTTATTGTATGTTTTTTTGTATTCGATGTTGGGCATTTGGGTATTGTTATTGTATGTTTTTTTGTATATGCCGAGTCTACTATGTGTACGGGGCGAGGTATGGAAGCTGAGGCGCGGTTGAGTGCGCACTCATCGTAGCTTGAGTCTACGGTGCGGCTTGATAGCGTCGGGGGTTCTTTTTGTATTTGCTATTTTGTGAGGGAAAAAACGGGGAGCACTTCTGTACCGCTAGCTGACACTCTTTTCCCACTGGGTTTTTAATGAGGCGGCAAATAAAATATATGAAACAAGTATGTGTAGTTGTTATCGCGACGTGACATGCTAAAGGTGGTTGGTGGTTGGGTTCTCCATCGTCTCTTTCAACGCCTCACTTTTAACCTTCTAGAAGACCTTGCCTTCCAATATTTAAAAGTGAACTGATAAATGGAACGACCAAAAAGAAACATTGCTCACGAGCGGATTTGAACCACCGATCTTTGCATTACAAGTGCAACGCCTTACCCCTTGGCCACGCGAGCTGTTGATGAATGTCGTGCGTATCTAGACCTTATGACCTACCTAGAGTGAGTTGAGATGCAGATTTTACATTTGTCTGAATTGGGCCAGTGGTCGCTAAGTTTAAAATTCACTTCTAGTTTTGATCGGGTTTCGTTTGCTCTTTTCATCCTGTCCATCTCTCAAATTATCTCTGTCTCTAACCCTATTCTTCAAACATGGAATTCACAGTTAAATCTTCTGCGATAATGGCGCAAGGCCTTCCTTCATACGTGGTGTACTTTCAGATACTCCAACCATAACCCATTTTGCTATGTGCTAGTCATGACTGCGCAAGTATTCAATTTGGTTAGAATCTTACTCAGGCGTCAAATTTTCCAACCGTTTCTCAACTGGATTATTGGTGATAATGGACTGCTGCCGTCATCACAAGCACAAGTGGATGACCATTACTCAATGTTTTCACCGTTCTTATTCCTACATTACGAACAACGGTCTGGGACAACTACTCAAACTTTCAAGTTCAAATCACATTCTGTAGCCTAAGTTCAATAAAATGCTCCATAAGAAATATATTTAAGTGTATTTCTCGTAATCTCAACTTAATCTGCAACTACTAATTATATTCCAAAAGTTGAAGAACGAAAAACCCCCACCCGACCCAATCACTATTTAAGAAATCCTGACTAGTTCAGTCCAATAACCTCAATCTTCAGTCCGCTTGGCAGATAAAATCTAATTGCAACATCGTCCCACTGCGGCACAATCTCGTAACCTTTCTTTCCGCCTCGAACCGGTGCATCCTGGGCACAGTCAAAGGTGGGGCCTGGTCCACCCTCCCATTTGGCCTTCTTGCCGACCTTGGCATCATAAAAAGTCCCACGGTGGAGATCTCTTTGCGCCGCACCTCTTGCGTTGAATGTGGAGGATTGGTACTGAGGGCTCCCAAGTGTGAAGACCTGGCCCCTGTGAGACCCCTTGGATGTGGCAGGGTACTCAAAGCTCAGGCGGCACTTCTTGCCAACTGCAGCGGCAGGATAATAGATAGTGCAGAGTGTGGAGGTAGCCTTGCCGTCGGAGCGGCTAACGAGGCCGTAGTTGCCAGTCTGCTTGTTGACGTTGGGAGTGGCTTCGCTGATCTGGACCAGGTTGGCGCAGGTGAGGAAGCGCGAGAGAGCGCTAGTGGTAAAAACCGAGAGGATGAGGATAGAGAGAGCAGCAAAAGTCTTCATTGTGGATTATGTGTTGTGAGGTTGGTTTTGAGAGTTGTATTGCTCGAGTGACCAATTGTGTGGATGGGAAAATCTCTTGCTTGGGCGAAATTGGCCGTCCTTTATACATCTCCATCTATGCACCAGGAAAATACGATAGAGGCTGTAACTCATACGAGTTAACTCAAAGTGAGCCGTTACTATTAGGATTTACGGCTGAATGACTGTTGTACTGGTGGTGGAGGCTATGAACTGGGAACCGGACAAGAGAGGTATTTTTGTCTTGGAACTATAAAGTTGAAAACTATACTACGCTAACCACTTGCAAAGGTAGCCATTCTTACTGATGCAAGATTGTGATTCAGTAATCTTCAGCCGCACCAAAAACATGTGTTGATCGATATTGGGTTGGATAAGTCTGTATGCACGCATAGTGACACAGTCGATACTCGATTGCTTGGTGAAGTTCCTTACATAACGACAGCAGATTTTGATTGCAGCAAATCAAAAAGCGAAAACTGCAACAGGTAGATTGAGATCTCTGCATCTCGAGTTTGATATTGAGAGCCCCTCAATTATCATGCATTGCTATCATCAACATTCCATAGTAGTTAATGAAAGCTCAGCCACTCGTTAGTTTTTTTAAGTTCTACGCACTGCAAGGGGACCTTTCATTGCTTTGTTTGCAATCATATGGTGCGGGGTTGCCAAAAATAACACGGTGTGGCGGTGGCTGGCGCTGATCAACCTCAGCCTACAGTCACATGGAGTGAGATCAGAAGGAATATCCCGGATATTTGTGTGAATAAGATATTGCAATGTATCTGTTGATGTGGTATGGCTACACAGTCAGATCTATTCTCATGATTTGTGTAAAGAGAGGACAAGCAGATAAACAACGGAGGAACATGCACGTTTGCTGTTCATATGGGGAGAGAAAGAGAATCGGTAAACCCAATCAACACCCCTACATCAACGAAGACGAAAATTGACGTCCTGTGTCATAGATCTACATCAGCATGCACCTGACCAAAAGAGACTGGCAGACTCCATTCCGCATGTCGGGTTCAAAATCACATCCATGTGCCACCAAAACCTGGCCAAATACCATCTGAGATCCCAATACTTAGGACGTCGAGAAAGATTTGACTGGATTTTCACATTTGATAAATATTTATCGGCGGACTCACTGTGATGCGGTGGTGTGAAATTTTCAAGATATGCATTATGATACCCATCATACCAAGAAAACACCAAAACACCAACCATATGATCTTCACTTGCCCGCACGCTCTAGATCCTGTCTAATTAACTCGAAGTTTTCCACACTCTCCCCGCCACCGGTCCTCGACCTTGAGCCCATTACTTTCCGGAGCCACGACGACCCCGCGCTCAGGCGCTCAGTGCTCAGAACAGGACTTCTCCAACTGAAAACCAATCGTTTCCGGAGCGCTGGTAGACACGCTGCGGTGTAGGCGGCCCATATCTCAATCGTCAACCACATCGCCACTGACCAGCTATTTGTACCTTGTGCATCTTTCTGGGTATGTGATAAATCGAGCAGCACCATCGATTTCATAATCGATGCTAAGATGGATATAAACGCCATGGTTATGACGAGGACGATGGCTATCTTTGCGGTCCTGTGTATTATGAGTAGACGGGAAATCATGAATAGAGGCAGGCACATAACTAACCGGAAGTCAGCAGACTACTCAAAAGGAGGGTGTTCTTCACTAACCCACGAAGTCGGAGGAAATGTTCATCGCCGCCACCGAGATGATAAAAACCCGATTAAAGAAAGGCGAGCAGACAGTGAAAATATTACTCCTGATCTACGGTCAATTGTGTAAAATTCCCTCTAGAATCGATAAGACATGCCAATTCTTACTCGGCGGATTGCACCAGAAAGTCTGCAAAAACACTGTTGTCACCCAGCACGCGCCCACATACGCCGTGCCGACCCAAAATACTACGCGCGAGCTCAGCGCCATCGACCGGAACAGTGGATAGTACAAGCACAGAAAGCTGCCCTTGATGGCATAAAGCGCAATGTAGAAGATGTACTGAATTGCGAACGAAATCTTCAACAACTCGCGGATGTGGTCCAATGCCTCCAAGTACGCCAAGTCAAGGAGCTTATCCGAATTGAGTATCTGGTGGAGAATCCACGTTCCAATGATGTTGGCAGCCAATGAGGCTGCGAGTGCTGTGAGGATGAAGATGTTGGTGCCGCTCAGAAATCGCTGCTTCGACGTCTCGATAAAACGCAGCACTGTGACCACGAACTCTAGGCCAAAGGTAACCCAGCAGATAACCTAATCTGTCAGCGGAAATTCTTACGGTTTCAGGGAATAACCTACAGACGACAGGTTGGGGCTCACGTACAGTCCCATTTCTCGACGTCAAGGGAAATAATCCTTAGCCTACGGCGGTAACGACGGCGCCTGCGCTATCGCCATACTTATACAAAAGCCGTGTGATTACTCAATGGTGGCTGTAGATGAAAGTGCAGCATGATATAGAACGCATTGAAGACTATAGGACGCCTTGCATCGACATCTAGTCCAGCTACCGCATGGGACATCCGGATGTGACGTTGGCCTCGGGTTCAATGCTTGGTTGAAGCAAGGTGACCCTACTCACTTTCACACGGCATCGGGTGGCGCTGCATTCATTGCTGACCGGTAAGTGTCGCGTCTGGAGCCTTGGACGCCACCGGTACCAACTTCAGAGACATGGGAGTCGACTGGGCGCTCTGCCGTGCGCTTTGAGGCTGCGATGATGAAGATTTAGGCTTCATTATGTATGATGAATGCCGGGATTCTCGGAGCAGAGGCCGTTGGTAATATCACCGGTGGATTAGTGGGCAGGCAAACGCCGATAATGACGATGCTGTGTAGCGACGGGAGACTGCAGCAGGCTTTATTTTGCTTATTCTACCTATGCCGCCCGCCGAATATATGCTATATCCATATGCTTATATTGGCAAGCATATGATGCCACGTGCCGGCAGATCCGGGTTACCTCGTCGGTGCGGGGCCCCCACTTTCACCATATCTGGACGTCGTTCGTGCTGACATGCATATCTTGTGTTTTGGATGATCTTATTGTACGGCGCTCCAGATGGTTCCATTTTTCATGGAACCATTGAGGAATGATCAGACTAAGTTGTCTAAATAACCTTCGACATTCATCAACAGCTCGCGTGGCCAAGGGGTAAGGCGTTGCACTTGTAATGCAAAGATCGGTGGTTCAAATCCGCTCGTGAGCATGTTTCTTTTTGTTTTGCAGCGCTCTAATTTTGCCCAAGGACTAGTGGCCTGGGAATAACGCTAGGATTGCGGTGGGAGTTAGTGGAGCCTTGTCGGATGTCGAGTACCAGGCTGTGATTTTTACTGCGCACTGCGCATGCTGTCTTTGACTACGTGGCTAATATCTATTCTACGGCCTAGAAGGGGATGTATTCGTACCGTATATGCCATGACCACGTGCCCGTAAAAGGATCCCCAGCCTTGTCTCTGCGCAGCCGTGACTTCGAGCATATACCTAATCAGTCCACCATTCCTACAGAAGCTACAGAAGGCCTCCAATCCCGCGTGTATAGCACAAAAGCTACATACCCACGCACTGCATTTAGCGACGAGGTGACTGAGTAGCAGTGGAGCACACGTGTCCGGATGTACATATGCTTTGCAGCCTCCAAATCGACGGCCGACTGGGCTTCCACACTGTTCCCAACAACGGCCACCGTCGGGAGCTTCCTCAAGCCGTGCGCCCAGAATCGACATTTCCAACCATCCGTGGAGCTG